TTTTTTTTTTTTTTTTTTTTCTTTTTTTTTTTTAATTGGGTGTGGGAGTTGTGTGGTGGGGGAAGGGGAGGAGTCTTGAGACGGATCCCACTTTGTTAATAGCAATTGTTGGAGTAGTTGAGCGTCCAAGCCTATATCTTCCAAAAGGCAAAAATACAAAAGGGATGAAAATGGTGTGTCTTTTTATTTATGTAATTTTGTGCGCACATTAATTTACCAATTTTATTAGCCTATATAAACAAAACGAGAAGTGCATTCACTTTGTTATTTCTCAATAAATTAAAGCAAAAGTGTTTTGTCTCTTCTTCTTCTCCATCAATTCTTGTTATGTGTAGTCCCTTTTTGGACATCACATCTCTAGGAGTAATGTACTGAATATATTATTGTTTATGTTTATGCAATCTTCTATTTGTTAAATCTTTAGATTACATGTGACATCCATTTCTACCCGTGTTTTAAAAACAATTAACGTATATGAAAAGATGACATAATAAAAATAATTAATCGTTTGGTTACGATAATTACTAACAATAATAATAATAATAATTATGTCTCAGTTCCAAATAAGTTGAGATTGATTATATGAATCTTTACTTATTTCTTTAAGCTCAACTCATGTATTTCATACCAAAATAAAATAAAAGTGAATGTGAAAAAATAAATTATATATATATATATATATAATATAATAGTAGTAATAATAATTAAAAAAATAATATTAGAAGTTTTCTAACAAGCCTAAAATCTATTCTCAGGTAGATATCGATTATATGGATCTTTTTCCTTCATTGTACCATATTTTAAACTAAATCTGCATTGATTTTACGGATTTGTAAATTTTTCGAGACAACTTCCTTCCATATGATCTTAGGTCTACATGTTCCTTTTTAATACATTCACTTACAAATAGTATTACATCTACAAACTGGTGCATCTATAAGTTAATGCAGAACATAACTAAACCATCTCAAGTGACATTCTCTCATTTTATCTTTAATGTTTTCTACTTGCTTCTTCTGTCAAATATGGTTAATTTTAATCTTATCTAATCTTGTATGACCGTATATCCATTTAGTATTCGCATCTCTACATCACTAATCTTGCAGATATGTTGGACTTGGCAACTCAATATTCGCTACCATGCAACATTAAGGACTATGAGGATCAAATCTGAACTTAATTTAATCCCTAAGGATCTTAATTGTAATTTTACTTTTATTTACAAATGGTTCTGCAGCATAAAAGAATGTTATGTACATAGAGTGCAAGCTTCATGTGGAAATGCTAATGTTTAGTAGTATACCACTTTTTATCTTTCCACATACAGAGGAAAAATCGTGTTCGCACTTGCTGTTTAATTATATTGATCTAATAAATATATGACATAAATCTTTTTAAGGATTTAATCCTCCGGCTTAAGTTCTTAGCAATATCAAGCCAATTATACAATCTACTAATCACGTTTGGGCATGCAATATGTTTTTGGCTTTAATAGTATTTTTCTGAAGCACTTCTTCGGATAAAGGAGAAAAACTGTAAAAACAACTATCAACCAAATAAGTTAATATTTTTCTGAAACTTTACCGAAAAAAATATTTTGAAAACATTTCCCCAAAATATATTCCTAGAAAACAGTCTAAACATGACATTGGTTTTGTATATTTGCTAAGATGCCCAAAAACTCTCAAAAATCTAGAGCATACACCATATGAAATCTTTCAATATGGCCCTACAACTATTTCATACAGCTAACTTTGCACCTCAAAATAATTATCTTACACATGTCCTTTCAAACTGATGTGATTTAGTCGCTTTAGAACACTGTTAATGAAGTGATTGTTTTATTTCAAAAATAGCACGTCTTAATTGAAAAATAACAACAATAATGTCGTTGTCACAACCCAAAATCCCACCACAGACGTCGTGATGGCACCTAGTCTCTAAGACTAGGTAAACCGATTTCTATTACATTTTGAAGCCATTTTTTTTAAAGTAACCAAAACTAACAGTGGAATAAATATGAATATACAACCTCTCAAGACTGGTAGTACTGAGTCACGAACTTTAACTGAATACATGGGATGATCACGAGGACCGAATATACAATACTGTTTGATTATAAATTAACAGTACAATGAAATAAAAAGACTCGAAGGGACTGTGACGACCAAGCAGTTCTACCTTGAATTTTTACGGTCCCGCTTTAACTCTGCTCAAGTTCGATATCTCCAATATCTGGCTCTGCACATAAATGTATAAAAGTGTAGTATGAGTACTCCACGGTCGATACCCAGTAAGTATCAAGACTAACCTCAGTGGAGTAGAGACGAGGTACATTAGAGACACTCACTAGTCTAATAACCTGTGCAATATAGTATACAAAATAATACTAAAAAATAACTAGCAGTGATAACAACAAAATCAACTAGTGATATAACAACAATACAACAAGAACATCATAATTATTGCTTAGACAAATAAGGAACACAAGTACAACCAATTAATCAAGTCCTTATATTTTTCAAATAATAATCTCTAGGATATAATACTTTCCAATAAATATATTTTCAAGTAAAAGTCACCATGTGACACCTCATTTCACAATCATAAAATTACGGGTCTCAACCCACTTTCATATTTTTTCACGGCACCTCGTGCCCATATTTCTATCACCATCACACGGACCACTCACGTGTCAAAATATCAATATATATAAGATCCGTAGGATCAATTTATTTTTACTAAAATAAGGTTAAAATCTTTAAATCAAGTAAGAATTCAACAAAAGAATAAATTTATTTTAGAAACCATTTGGGTGAAGAAAGTGACATTCCAATTAAAATGAAGCACCCGATGACTACTAATTTGGATGTAAACTTTATTAAATTAAAACATAATAGCAATTTTTTTTATTCGAAACAACTCAATTCTCGAAAACCAGTAAACCATAAACACAATTTTGCAGAGTGGTGTACAAGGAGCCAAAGTCAACATAATACAACAAGGAATGCAAAACACATAATAAAATCAAATAATACATCACGGAAGAACACAAGAATTTACATATCACGAAAAAACAAAATAACCAAAGGCAAGTGCATCCATAGAAAAATATCAACAAAGGGCACTCCCGAGGTACCTCCTCGTAGTCCCAAAAGTAAATATGCAAGACATGGGGAATCTCCCGAGGTACCGCCTCGTAGTCCCAAAAGTAAATATGCAAGACAGAAGGATCTCTTGGAATACCGTTCTGTAGTCCCAAAGTAAATATGCAGGGCAAGGGGATCTCCCGAAATACCGTTCTGTAGTCCCAAAGTAAATATGCAGGGTATGGGGATCTCCCGGAATACCGTTCCGTAGTCCCAAAGTAAATATACAGGGCAGAGGGATCTCTTGCAATACTATTCTGTAGTCCCAAAGTAAATATGATTTCAACAATTGGACATCAAGTGCTCACATATCACAAATGGCTCATCAAGTGCTCAAATATTACAACATATCACAAATTGCACATCGAGTGCTCAAATATTTCAACTTGCCACAGAAATCAACAATACATTATTTTTCACAATAAGGAGCTCATGGCTCGACCATAATGTGCACAAAAATCTTAACAAAAATATCCGGGAGTGAACAACTCAACAAAATAATATTTCACATAAATTCAAAGTGGCAATCACATCAAATCATCATATAAAAATAATTTCAACAAACAAGGATCTAGACATGACAAATAGAGGATTTAATAAGTGCCAATAATTTCCAACTTAATACATAAGGGCGTCTAAGGATTTTAATCAACAAAATTTGTACATATAAACCAAGTACGTACTCGTCACCTCGCGTACATGGTTTTCAATTACACAATTTACACATAATACTCAATGCCTAAGGGGTATTTCCCCCACTCGAGGTTAAGCAAAATACTTACCTTATTGAAGTTGTGCCGATATTCCAAAATCGCCTTCTTGCTTGAATTGACCTCCGGACAGCTCAAATCTATCCAAATTAATTGTACCGCTTCATTAAAATTCATCGAAAATAATTCCGCATAATAAAATACCAACTTAAAATTTTATTCTAAAAAGTCAGCTCGAGGACCGCCCGTCGGAACCCGACAAAAGTTTTACGAAATCTGAACGCCCATTCCGAAACGGGTTCAACCATACCAAAATTATCAAATTCCGATAACGGATCGCCCTTCAAATCTTAAATGAAAGTCTAGAGGATTTCTATCATTTTCAACCCAATTCACTAATTTAGTGATAAAAACAACAATAGATTCATGTAATTTAACTAAAATCAAGTTAGGAATTCTTACCCCAACGTTTTTCTTGAAAAACTCTCGAAAAATCGCCTCACCCGAGCTTCCTTGGTCCAAAAATGGAAGAATGAGACGAATTTGGACTTTATTCTGCTGCCCAGGGATTTGTTCTTCGCGTTCGCGACCCTTCCCTCGCGTTCGCGATGAACAAATTCTCCAACAACCATTTTCAAATTCTTCTGAGACAGCCTCTAGTATAATGGTCATAAAGTTTTGTACAAATCTCCAAATGATAAATGGTTTAACTTTATGGAAACTAGACTTAAAGGGCTATAAATTTTATTTGTTTCTCATCTCTCCATTCCTTATATATTGCAAGATATAAGCTTCTAAAATCAGCCATGTGCAATAGAAATTATCAAACTCTTCACAGATAGCCTGTAGTATATCCGCCATGACTTTTGGTACACAATTTCAAATGCCAAATGGTTTATCTTTCTGAAAACTAGACACAAAGCGCTACAACTTTCATTTTTGGATCATCTCTAAATTCCTTATAGATTGCGAGATATGATCCTCCAAAGTCAGACAATTGCAACAGAGATTT